AAAATTGGTTAAAAATCACCTCCAAATTGATTTCCAAAATAGTTCCAATCAAATAAGGAAAGTTGTTTTCGCGCGCAAATTCTTGTCTCTGCACAGCAGTCAGTATTTTGGCCATAATTTTCTCTCTCGATATTCGATTGAAGCGATTCAAAATGCGTTGGAAAGATAACTCAAAGGGATACAACTTTTATAGATATAGAACATTTATAATTCGGATGTTTATTATACCAAAAATTGGTCTCAATTTTCGAGTAAAAAATTTGGAATATAAACCATTGCGATTGGAAATTGATTTTGATAATATTTTGATCATATTTTATTCATTTTTGAGTTCCAATTCCATCCAATCGTCTCGTAGAAATCTTTAAAGTGTCATCTTGTGGTCCGAATAAACTACTGAATGTTTGCAATTCGACCATCAAACTTTGTATTTGATATAATTGAGCCATTTTTTGCTATCTCCAAATCTTCTTCAAACGTTGAGTTTTACCTACAAAATGAAATATAACACAAGTTAGGTAAAATTTTATCCAAAAAACAATAAAATAACATCATTTAGGACATTGAATAAATGTAGAAACTATACTTATCACACCCACAAATTTGATTCTTTGTTTGTCTTCAAACAAAACCAAGACCTAACAAACACACAAACACATAATGCTAATTACCTAATTGGTGGTCAGATAATCAAGTAATACAAAAATATTTAGTTAGCTAACCTGGCTTTTTATCTTAGGTTTGAAATCATAATATTAAATATATACACAGCTTCAAAATTACAATAAAAAAATTAAAATCTACTTTTCCAATGTACAATCGACTTGTATATGTGTGAAGAATTAAGTATAGTATTATGAATTCATACGTTGTTTCAATTCCCGACCCTCAATGGTCAAATATGTTCTTTCATCGTTCGTAAGATTAACACACATCCAATCTGATTCTTTTTGCTCTTTTCAAATGTGTGAACTAAAATTGAATTTTATACTATCATCATTTCTCTAGTTTAGGTAAATTTCACTAATCGCAAGTCAACATGTCAATATTAAGTTTGATTGTTTCAATCTCTAGAACTTAATTAGGCTAACATTCTCTTATCGAAAATCAAATTTTTTGAACAAGAGTTTGGGATATAACCAAGGTATTTGGTATGTCTTCTGTTTCATGCACATGGTTTTTTCCTATATTTTTTCTTAATTTTTTTCAACACTTTTTTTTT